TACTGATGGAATGTATTTGAAAGCTCTTCCTTTGTTATTAAATAATATAGAAAATCTTGAAAATGTTGAAGCAAAATGTGCATTGATTTATCTTTGTGGAGAGTTTGTAACAAAAATTACAAATGCAAAAGAATTTATAGCTAAATGTATTGAGAGGTATACTGACGAATGTTTAGAAGTAAGACTAACTCTTTTAACTGCATGTGGAAAAATTTATTGTGAAGTTCCATTTACAGAAACTACTCAAAAAGTATTAGAAATAGCTATCAAATCTGTTGAATGTGATGAACGTGAACGTGCAGTATATATTTGGAGGATATTAAGTGGAGGTGAAAAATTAGTTAAAGGAAAGACAGTTGGAATGGAAAAAGTTCTTGAAAGAAGAGAAATGTTAATGAACATTGGAAGTATTTCTACTGTATTAGAAATACCTAAAAAAGATATAAAATCATACTCTGCACCTAAAAGAACAATTAAAAATATTGTTGGAGATAAAGAAAAACAACAAGAATTAGATGAAAAGAATAAAGAAATTTATGCACAATTAAAACAAAAAAGAAATCAAGGAAATCAAAAAATTTTGAGTGTAGAAAATGAACGTATTAATAGTTTGATTAGTGTGTCTAACAATGTACACCAATTTGATATTGATGGAATGATAATTAAAAAAGAAGGAAAATTATTTATGAAAATGAGAATTAAAAATACTTCTGGTGCTGTAATTAATGGACTATTTATGCAAATTAATAACAATTCATTTGGATTATCTTGTGGCACTTTTGATAAAACAACATTACAAGTAGATGAAATTTATTCAACTGACTTACCATTATATTTTAATGGAGTTTCTTTAGAAGGGAAATTGAATAATGTAATGCAACTAGGAATTTCACATTCAACAAAACAAGTTTCATTTTATACACTTATAATGCCAATATATTTAGCGTCTATTTCTGAAGGAGTGCCAACACAACCACGAGTATGTGCCGAGATTTATCATAAATTCCCATGTGACTCTACTTTAGTTCTTGTTTTTAATCATATTCAACCAGGAGAAAGTAAGAATGTATTAGTTGATTGTGGGTTTAAAGTAGTAGCAGAAAAAGTAGAAGGAACAGTTGCTAAACTAATAATGATTATCAAATTAATAAAAGACATAATTATTATGGCTGATATTGGTATTGATGCAATAAAGAAAACAATTACATTCCATATGAAATCATCAGATTTCTCTCAACTAAAGTTAATGGAACAATCATTAACTCCTTTATTCTAATTAACTTTTTTTTTTCTTATAAAAATGAATAATGTGTAATTAAATATCTCATTCATTTACCAACTTTCATTACTTGAAGAACATCTTCATCATCTAAACGATGGTCTTTACCAACTCTTTGAGGACTATGTTTAACAGAAGTTCCCCAAACTAATGCATATTTCATTTGAGTAGCAAGTTGTTTATGAATTTTAAAACTAACATTTTCCACAGTAGCTTTACGTGCTGGAAGAACAATAGGAGTCTTAAAATCAGGAAAAGCACCAGGAGCTTTTGTATAAACTCTAACCAGATTTAATTGCTCCCAAATCATTTCTTTTAATTTATCTAAACCAAGTCCTTGAGCCGCAGAAATACAACAAAAATATGGTAATGTTTGAAGTTTTTCCACTTCAGATGGTTCCATTGCATCAATTTTATTAATTACATAGATACAAGGAATATATTTACAATTATCTTCTATTACATCAATTAAATCTTGGACTGAAGAATCTGTGTCACAATAAACATCTGCATTTAATATTTTATATTCTTTTAATACTAATCTAACAATTTCTTGTGTTAATTCACTTTGTTTTGCTGTAGGTGTAAAACATACTCCTCCTGCAAGTTTTTTAACAATACGAATTCTTGGTGGTTCTTTATTTAATCGAATTCCAACACCTTCTAATTCATATTCAATTTTATCTTTTAATTCTAATGACTTAGTTCCATCTATCATTAAAAGAATACAATCAGAAGTTCTAGCAACTGAAATGACTTGTCTTCCTCTTCCTTTTCCATCTTTAGCTCCTTCAATAATTCCTGGAAGATCCAATAATTGAACTTGTGACCCTTTTAAATCCATTACTCCTGGAACACATGTTAATGTAGTAAATTCATATGCTGCTATCTTTGATTCTGTAGGTGTCATTGCTGTAAGTAATGTAGATTTTCCAACTGATGGAAATCCAACCATTCCTACTCTTGCATCTCCAAACTTTGCTACATCAAACCCTTCTCCTGCAACTTTTTTTTCTGGTGCAAGTAATTCCCTTTGATATTTTGCCATTTTTGCTCTCATCATACAAATATGATGCATTGTAGCTTTATTAACTTGTGTTCTCGACAATTCAAATTTGATATCATCAATCTTTTGTTGCAATGACATGATTTATTCTCTTCTTGTTTTTATATTATATAGTTCTTTTTATTACTTGTTTACTATTATTATTTTTTATATTTGAATATTGTTATATATATCAATATTATGGTATTTAAAACTAATCAAAAAATCAATGTAATGATAATAAATAAGATAACTTGATGAGATTAATTAATAATCTTGTAGAGTTAAACAAACAATTTTTATTAGACTTTATTTAAACGAAGACTAAAAGAAATTCAAAGAAACAAAAGTGAATTAAGAATTATGGTCTATAGTTGTAATCAACATCATGAGAACAAGCAGTCATATCACCATTATATTGTTTCATATAAGGAGAAGTCCATCCACCAAATGATTTGAAGTCAGAGAATGTTTTCTTACCATCATAATGTGGATACCAAATTGGCCAACTTCCAGCTCTGCTGAATTTGTAGTCTAAACCTACAATGTCTTCCCAGTTATAATAAGAAGCATAAATTCCAGATTTAATACCAATAGCAGCAGCTTCATTAGTAAGACTTTCAAAGAATTTTCTATTACTAGATTTAGAAGAAGACTAAGTTCCTTCAATATCGAACCATAATCTTTCGAACTTAAGTTTTTTAGAAGTGACTTGATTCCAGAATGATTTTACTTGTCCTGCAGGATCTCCACATGAATAACATGGATAGAAATAAGCATCAATGTTCTTTGCACTAAATCCAGCAGCAAGAGCATTTTCATTGATTGATTTAGCATTTGGGTCAAATGATCCAAGACTTCTCCAAGCTCTAAAGATAAAGAATGAATTAAATCCAAGATCTCTTAAACACTTAATTGATGCTGTTGAAATAGATTCAGCAATATCAACACCATAAGAAGCTGCATGTGCAGTAAGTACAATTGCGGCAAGGATAAATAACATTAATTTTAATAAGAACTTTTTTAGAGTATTTAAAGGAACAAAAAAAAAATTATTTAAAATAATATTTCATAGTTATTTTATTCTATTTCTTATTCTTTAATTCTATAAATAAAAATAATTATTTGAAAATTTAATTTATTTCAATTTTTCTTAGAAAATTTAGAATCATTTGGAAGATTTAATTTATATTATTTAAATCCTTAATTAAATGAATTTTCTCTAAGTTTTTATAAAGATTATTCATCTGAACTATAAATTATTTATTTTTTGTTTTAATTTTTAATTTGGATTGTTATTATTAAAAGGAGATAGTATATTTTTTTTAATTTAAAAATTAGTTTTATTCGGTATTTTCTTTTTTTTTTTAGTTTAAAATATTATTCATTTTATTTTTATTTTATTTCCAATTTTTCATATCAAGAAATAAAAGATAAATATTTTGTATTCAATAGTTTTGTATAACAGTGTTATTACTAATGGTTTATCCTTTCTTTTCATCAAAAAGTTCTTTTTCTTCAATAATGTAGGAGAAAATAGTAATAGAAAGACGTCACATTAGTTTTGTTGGTAATGTTATCGATGATTGAAAATTTGAATAACATAAATTCTTTAGTAAATCGCATGTTGCAGATTTAGATTATAAAACCTAAAAATAAAACTTAAATCATTATTTTAATAAATAGGATAAAAATGGATAAACTGTGGTATAAAAGGGTTTTATAACAAGTGATGGAAAAATTAGAAGATTTTAAGTTCATCAAAAGGAGAAAAAGAGCAAATAAAAAAACAAATTCAGGAATTTGACAGTGTTGGAAATAGAACTCAAATCAGAGAAGTCTAAATATGGTAAAAAGATTGGATAAGTAAAATTAGAAAAGAATAAATGATATTGAAGGGAATTGAAAGAAGAATTATTATTTTTGGAAAATACAGAACTATTTAACAGATAGATTTGCGATTATTCATTTCATCCTGTTAAGTAATGAGTTTATCAGTTTTTACTCCAGTTCCTATAGAAAGTTTTGTTATTACTCCAAAAATTGCTAGTCAATCTGAAGAAGATTTGAATGAAAAAATATGTTATTCTCGTTTTGTTTCATATCAATGGAATGATGAAATTACTATTTTTGTGATGTTGAAATATAAAAAATGGCAGTTATCACAAAGAAAATATAAGACATTAAATGAATTTTTAAAAGAATGTTCTGAATGTCTTACAACAAATTTTCATTTTAAAAAATCACCAACACAAATAAGAGATAAAATTAATAATACCAAATCATCATATGCTAATATTATTAAAAAATCATCTGCTCAATTCTCTAAAGAAAAAAATTTACCATTAACAAAAAAATTATTTGATTTTATGAATATTTATTTTAATGGTAAATATGTTATTTCAATTGACACATTAGAAGAACAAATTTCTTTATTAATGAGAAAATTTATGAGTCATGTTAATACCTCTTCTCAACTAAAAAATGCTATTTTAAAAATGAAAACTTATCATTAAAAGAAATAAGTTTTTTTTTTATTTATCAGTCTCATCACATTGTACATTACTTATTATTTAATTGAATATCTTTTTTTTTATTAAAATAATTAAAATTACATTTTATTTATAAATAAAAAACTTTAATAACAATAAAAAGTTATTTATTCAACCCTTAAAATTAATTTAGTGGATATTCATATTCTTTTTGATGTTTTGGATTTTTCATTCTTATCATTGCATTGCTTTGTTTAGATGAATCAAAATATTGTAAAAAATTAACACGATAATCAAAGATTTCATTTCTAAATTCTTCACATTTAATTTCTTGTTCTTTACTTAGTTTGAAGTCTTTCATTGCATTTATTTTATCAATGGTTCTATCAAATTTAACAATATAAATTCCTTTTTCTTTAGGATGATAATACTTTGGTATAGAATATAACATTTTGTAATTTTTAAATCCTTCAAAATTCATTATAAAATCATGAAGTCTATAATCAAATGGGACATTATAATAACATAATGTTTGTGTTTTAACAATTGGTAATGAATTATAAAATGAATATAATTCAACTGCAAAAGAGTCAATAATTTGTTTAATTTGTTTTGTTGTAATATCATTTTCTAAATTAAATTGATCAAATCCAGAAACAATTTCAATAGGATTTGATTTTTTTCTTCTTGGTAATGATTTTCCATGAGCAATATCAATTGATTTATCATTGTAATTAAAAGTAATGAAATATTCTAGAAAATGATGATCTAATTCAATAGTTTTAGTATTTTTTAATTTTTTAGTGAATAATTCAAGACATTGAGGACATACTACCCATCTTATTTGAGGATTTACATTACAAAATTTATAAGCAAAACTTGAATTTTCAGGATGAATACATTTCTTTTCCATTGGAGATAATATCATTTCTTCATGAAATAGAAAGTGTAAAACAAGATAAAAACTTAATTCCATATGATTGTTTAATTCAGTTGTTTCTAAAATTTCAACTAAATTTGATCGAAGAATTTCAATTCTTGGATCTGTTGTTGAAATTGATTGGTAAAATTCCCATAAAATACATTGTGTCTCATTAGGTCCATAAAAGTTTATTGTAAGTTGTCCTTTAGAAATTGTTAATGACTTTTTTGTTTTAGAGATTTTCCATTCATCAAAAACATCTGATAAGATTTGTAATGTTGATTGAAAGTCATTTGAATTGATAGAAATGTCTACAGTAGTATTGATTGATGTTTTATAACAATTCATTACAAATAAATCACTTATAAATTCTTTTAATTCTTGAATAATTTTCGGTAGAATGGCAATTGAAATTGATTGATTAAATGATTTATTTGGCATTTCATAAGGAATCACGTAATGTGGTTGTTTTAAATTTGAATGACATAATATTTGATGAAGAAGTAATTTAGATGGTGGAACACTTCCACAACATTCTTTAAGGGAAGTATCTATTTTAAGTATAGGACTATACATTAACAATAATAAATAATGAAGTATTAAGTTCAGAAATAAAAGATTTTTTGAAAATTTGATAAGATTCAACTTTTTGTTTCTTTTTTCTAAAATGTTTTTTTTTTGTGTTTTTGTTTTTTATTACAAGATGAATAAAAAACAATTTATTCTAACATGTCTATGTTGAGATGTATTGGGTATAATATTGGGTCATATTTTTATAATAGTGTGTCTTCTAAAAGACTAATTAAATTACAACCATTTACACAAAAAAATGTTGTTCATATACTTGGAAATTGTTATTATCCTGAAACTAATGAAAATTTAAATCATTTGACTTTCAACGATGCAAATATTAAAATTCATGATTTAATTGTAGCAACATACAGACAAAAATATTCATATTTAGGAAACACTTATCTTTCTTCTGATGCAGGATGGGGGTGTGCTATTCGAGCAACACAAATGATGATAGTAAATGCATTAGTCATTTTTAAAGATCAAATGCAACAAATAGTTGATTATAATTCGTTTGAACATCAACAAAATAAATCACAAGCAAAAGAACTTATTTATGATAGAATCTCTTCATTATTATCAATTCATAATATCTACATTCAACAAGTCATTAAAACACATAATCCAAAAGGAACTAATTTTTTACCACCATCTGTATGTTGTATAGCTATTTCGTTTGTTATTAATTTGAAGATACTGCAATATTAATTTTCATTAATAACCAAAGTCAATTCTAAATGCATTATAGATCACTTTTACAAGAATGGGATAAAAAGCCATTTAATTGTATCACTTGTTTAAACCATATCCCAAGTTGTTCATGTCCAACACTTTATTTAATTCCTCGAATTATCACATTCACTGAACATCAACTAATTTTAGACTCATTAGCTCTTTCTCAAAGTCGAGGATTTGTTGGTGGTATTGGAGAATCAGCAATTTTTGTTTTTGGATGTCAAGGAACAACATTATTTTTTTTAGACCCTCATTATGTACAAAATGCAGGAGACTTTGGGTATTTTAATCCACCAACATACCAAATAGACATTTCTTTGATTAGTTCATCTGTTGTTTTTGCTTTTATGTGTTATGAAGAAAATGAATGTGAACAACTTCGAACCATCTTTGGTATGGGGAAAGTACCTATTGTTGCAAGAGAATTTACATCAACAAAAGAAATTGATGGTGTTGAAGTCTTAGACTTTTAAAGTAATCAACGTTCATTGTTTATTTAAGTTATTTTCGTTTTGTTTCATCTGAGGAATGAGTTGAAGAAAATTTGAAAGACATGACTCTTATAAGGCAAGTAAAAAATGTCTAATTACTGTTTATTAGCTTTTCAACTCTCAAAGAATCTTATTGTTATAAAATTTCTTTTATGACTCTGAAAAAAGAAAATTAAACTCAAATCAACTCATTTACAGATGAAACATTTGTTTAGAAACAAACAAATTAATGAAAATTCTTTTTATTCATCACTTAATATCAAATCACCAACACTTCAACAAAGAAAAGGATTAGAAATTGTCTATTTAATGAACATAGTTCCTTATTTGGAAAATATTTCAACTTTATTAACATTTATTTTTGTTAGTAGAAAATGTTTTCATTCTGTAAAACGACTAAAGATTAATCCATTCTACTCCTGCAAGTTAAATAATACAAAAGAACGTATCAAATCATTAAAAAAAGAGATTCAATATTTTGTTGGGATAGAAACATTTCTTTGTGATTCAGAAATGATTGAGAAATTAACAACTGAACAAATAGATAAAATAAAAAGATTTAATCTTTATGGAAAAGTCATTTATACTGCACCAAACTTAATCCAAATAGCATCAAAAATCACTTATTTTTCATTTTATGTTGATCTTGATGTACAAATACCTATTCAAAAAATGGTTAATTTAAAAAAATTATTAATTGATATGAATGGAAATACTGAAATGGTATTTTTTACAGAATATATTATAGAAATATTTGCTCAACTTCAATCTTTTCAATTTTTTCATTCATTAGTTATAGAATGTAATGGTATTGAACTTAAGAAAATAATTTCAATTCTTAATAAATTTGAATGGAATAAAATTAGAGTTATTATTAAATGTTTTGATCTTAGAGAAGAACATATTACTTGGTTAAATGAATTAAAAATTAATAATCGTATTATTTCTTGTTATTCAAATGAATTAAAAAGTTCATTTGTTAAATTACTTGTTCTTCCTTTATATGATGCTTCTAATACTTTAACAATTTCTAATGATGTTCTTCAATATCGTAAATTAATATCTATCCTTAATTTGTATTGGCTTGTACGTTTAGACTGTTTTGAAATTTCTTCTCTTCAATGTCCTGCTTGTCGTGTAGATTTATCAATTGCAAATTCTTTGCAAGAATTTAATTTAACAAATACTCATTACTTACAACCTTCTTGTTTCATATTACCTACTTCACTTAAAACAATTACTTTCACTAATTGTTCTAATATTACTCTTCCAAATTTGGCTTCTATTCATTTGTCTAGTTTTTCTATTAGAAATTGTTCTACTGTTCAGTCTTTGTTCCTCCCTTCTACTCTCACCTTTTTGGAAATTAGAAACACTCCGCTCAAAGCTTCATTGAATTTGGAATTAATCCAATTGAAACAATTGTCGATTGTCCAATGTTCTTCATTAGAGTCAATTATTGTTCCTTTGTCAATTCAAACTATCTGTGTTTATTGGTGTGACTCATTAACTACTATTGAAAAAATCTTTCAAACTACTGTTAATAAATTAGATCTCTTTCATTGTATGAGATTGAAACCCCTTGCACTACCAATAACAGTCTCACAACTATATATTTCGTTTTGTCAAAATAGTCTTATCAACAATATAACTCAACTGACAAACTTAACATCTCCATTGTATTAATACTTATTTCATTTATTTTCATTAAATATTATCATTTAAGACTATCATTCTATCACTTTAATACTACAAATAAGTTATATTTTTCATATACAATCTCTTTGGTTTAACTCTTCCTTTGTGCTATATCATGAATTTTTCTTATTGTTATAAAAATGATTAGAATCTTACACAACACCCCCAAAACCTTGAGAATTTCCTAACAAAAACTAGAAATAATTATTACATAAAAATACTCATCAAATAATGTTAATGTGTTTAATAAATACTATTGTCACATTACCTATTTGGAGATTAAATACTTATTCATCTTTCTTTTTATTCTTTATTCTCTTCTTTTCAAATCTGAGTTGATAATGGATTAACAAGACATGATCTTAACTCAATAAACCATTTTAAAGTACCTTCTAAATATGTATTTTATTACTGATTTGTTCATTTTGTCATTTGAAAATATTACTTGTAATTGATTGCAAAGTGGTCAAGATGCTTTGATACAATTTAAGAAGATTCATTACATCAGAGTATTGATAAAAGTTCTACCTTAGCACATTAAAACAAAACCAGCGTCTATGAAGTTAGACTAATAAATTTAAAACAAAACATCTATACCATTATTTAAATCATTGAAAAACAAAACACTTTAGAAGTATTAGAAAATGTTACATTACCTCAATGAAATTATATCCTTATTTGTTCAATGACACTGAAAGATACCCCCCAACTAAAACCTCCTACTGGAATTACTAAAATAACTGAGTTGAAAGTACTTATGTATTAATAATGTTAATAAACATAAATTTATTCGTACTAAAACAATAAAGAATATTATAGTAATGGTAAAGTTATATAAACAATACTAATACCTTATAAAATAGTACAATAAAAGAATATTGACTAGTAACTTTTAATTGATTTTTATTAAAAATAAATGAGGAATTCTCCCATTTTATTTGTCTTTACTATTATTAATTAAAACAAAACACAATTTCTTTATAATAATTAATGACAATGTTATATTAATTGATGTTTCTGAATTTCATACATCATTTCTTCAAAATAAACAACACCCTTTCTCCTTTTTAGGTTTTTCTATTGTCCAGATTTCTTCTTCTATAGAATATTTATATTCAACTACATTTCTTGTTATTATATCAAAGATTTGATTAATGTTTTCATTTGTTTTAGCACTGCATTCAAGAAATGGACATTTGACACTATCTGCATATTCTATACCGTCTTCTTTCGTTACCTGTCTTTCATTTTCTAAGTCACATTTATTTCCAACTATAATAATTGGAATTACTTCATTCTCATCTTTGTCTTTAACTCGATAAATCTCTTCATAAATTCCTTTCATTTCTTCAAATGATTCTTTTGATGTAATAGAATATATTAATATAAACCCATCGCTCTGCTTTATGTATAAGTCTCTCAATATAGAAAACTCATCTCCACTACACGGATCAGCAACATCTATTATAATAGAAATATCATCAACTTTCATTACCGTTCGATACTCATCTTCAATACCTGGGTCATACATTTTAAAAAAATGTCCAGAGAAGAATCGGATTAAGATTGAAGTTTTACCAGAATCAATTTTTCCTAATGCAACCAATTTATATGGATTACCACTAACACTCATTTGAAACTAACTCTTTTATTAGTTTTTTATAAATCGTTTTTATAACTATGTGAATTAATTTGAATTTTTGAATATTCTTTAAAGTATTTAACACATTTATTTCATATCTTTATTCTTATATCTTCATGTTTGTTTTAACTTTTTATTCGTTTGATTACTTTATTTTTATGCTGAAAGTATTTAGTTGTTATGTGGTGTTATGTTAATTTATAATGTCTTTTGTTCTTTTAAAACTTCACTCTTTTTGTCGTTTAATCATTTCATTGATTTTTAATTTTTTCTATTCATTTCTCATAATAAAAACATTAATATATATTAATTAATGAGTCAATTCAACACTTTATTCCATTTGAGCAATGAAATTCTTTTGTAAAGAAGACGTATAAAGAACAACATCAACGCTTTTTAATTCCTTTGTAGATTCATTCTCTAGAATATATCCTTCCATAACAAGTGAATTTCTTTTTAAACTTTCAGTTGGATTGATATATACCACAAAACTACTTCCAATGTTCTCTTTAACTTTACTCAAATATTCTAATTGTTGCTCAGTTAAATCTTTGCTTCCTCCACAGACATACATCCCAACACAATAACAATTCTGTCCAAATACGTCTTTTGTTATTTTTAATTTTCCTTCTCCAGACTTTGGGGTACTTCCAGTTATTTCAACAATTGATTCATCATTAACAACTCCATACATTCTTCCACCACAATGTGTTTGATTATTAAATGAAGAGTGTGTATTTCTGAAGTGTTTAAGAATATTTAAAACAACGCATTGTTCAATTCTGATTGACATTTTGTTTTTGTCAAGGGTTTTTGAGATTTTTATTTTATAACAAATTTATTATTTACTTATTATCAATTTTACTATTTCTTTCTGTCTTTTGAGAAGTGATATGAGAAATTATCAATAATAATGAAAAGAATGCAATTAAATTATGTGTCTTTATTACCAATGAAATAAACAACAACCATAAAAACAACTAGTAGAACCATTAATCCAAACAAAATTAAAAGAGTACTTCCAGAGATTTTGTTCTTCTTTCCTAATGTTTGAATAAAATTCTTTCCAATAGAAGACATTTCTTTTTTCTTATTTCCATGGTCATCTTCATCGCTACTCACATCAAATTCTATAGTTGGTGCAACCTCATTATTTTCACTACCTTCTGTCTTTTCATCTTTACGTTTTAAACTAGTAATTTCTTGTTGGACATATTCAACATTATCTTGTTCTTCTTTTTCTTGTGGTGGTTGTTCTACTTCCTTTGGAGTTTCATTCAGTAAAACTGCTGCAGTCATATCTATTTCTTCTTCATGTTTAGGAGGGTTTAATTCAAGAAATGGTTGAAGATAAGACTTACCAGCAAATGTAGAGATTAATTGGTCTTTGATTTGATTTGGAATGTCTTGTTGTGTGAAAATTGGTTGATTGCATTTAGGACATTTAACCTCTTCTATTGATTGATCGAATAAAGAAATTAAGCAGTCTTTGTGAAACACACAAAAACAAGGTAAACGTACAGTTTCTTTTGATGCTAATTCAGTACTGCAAATTATACAATTATTCACTTCCTCACGATTTTCTTCTACATATTCCCGATATTTACAAACAGTACAGTTGATATGGTTTTTGAATATACATTCAATGCAAATGTGTTTTTTGTGATGGACACAATACAAATCAGTTGGTTTTTTACATTCAAAACAAATTCCCATTTATGTTTTGTTCAACAAAATTTAATTTAAAGTTTTATTTTTTTTTATTTTGAAAATTCTTTTTTTTTTATTTTTAAAGAGAATTTACAGCAAATGAGGAATAAAAACAAAAAAATTCAAATGATATTAATTTTAGTAAATATCATTTGAATTTACTTCAATAAACCATGACTTTCCTTAATCTTGGAAAGAAACAATAAAAGAAAAGATAAGTATTTAGATTATTTTCAAAATATCGTTATCTTATTTTTAAAATTAATTTAGCTAATATACATAAACAAAGAAAGTCATTAGACAACACCCACTTTTCATTTTTATCTTAATTTAACTTTTGTCATTCATATATTAAACAACACCCTTTCTCCTTTTTAGGTTTTTCTATTGTCCAGATTTCTTCTTCTGTAGAATATTTATATTCAACTACATTTCTTGTTATTATATCAAAGATTTGATTAATGTTTTCATTTGTTTTAGCACTGCATTCAAGAAATGCACATTTGACACTATTTGCATATTCTATACCGTCTTCTTTCGTTACCTGTCTTTCATTTTCTAAGTCACATTTATTTCCAACTATAATAATTGGAATTACTTCATTCTCATCTTTGTCTTTAACTCGATAAATTTCTTTATAAATTCCTTTCATTTCTTCAAATGACGTAAGTGATGTAATAGAATATATTATTATAAATCCATCTCCTGTTCTTATATTGAACGCTCTTCATGAATCATAACTAGTTGTGTCTACAATGTCAAATATTTGTAATTTTATTGTCTCATCTTCTATCTGAAGTTCTTTTGTAAAAGTATCATCTAAAGTGGGTTCATATCTTTCAACAAATTTGTCTAAGACAAATCTAAGTATAATAGATGATCTACCTACTTCAAAATAACTTCCAAAAACAACCAGTTTACAGGTTTGTTGGTTCAAGGACATTCAAAGTTTCTTTAATAATTAATTTTTTAGTATTTTAATTTTAAAAAAAAGATGAAGTATAAAACGAATATTTATGTTATTGACTTCACTTAATCAAAAAAAAAAAGAAGTTCAAATATTCTGCAATAATTAATGAAACATTTCACGTTTTATTTTCTTCCTTTTCTTGTCAATAAAATATAAATGAAAAAGTAAACGAAAAAGAAAATTCATTTCATATTCAAGAAGTGACTCTCAGCTTCTTTCTTTTTATCTCTTATAAATAACACTAACATTATGATACCTAAAATGATTAATGCAATAGTCATACTAATAGCAATCCAGAACATTAAATTTAAGTCTAAGAAATACAATTCTATTGACCATTTTGATGATTTTAGTGGTGGATGTGGAATAACTACTAATTGAGAATTTGGAATAATGGATTGGAATTGTTGATGAATGACAGACACGTT